CCCCCCCGGCGGGGGCGGGGGGAGGCGGCGGCGGGCGGGGACCCCCGTGCGGGGCACCCCGGTGGGATCGGGCATCTCCCCCCGCCCGGGCTTCCCCCCGGGGCCGGGCATCCCCCGGCGGGGCCGCTCGGGGTGTCCGGGGGGGGACGCGCTGCCCCGCGGTGGAGGCGGCTCCGCCCGCGCCCTCGGGATCCCGCGGGGCTCAGCCCCGGCTCGCTCCGGGCTCCCGGGGTTCGGCTCTCTCAGGGAACCGAGGGAAGGAGCGAGGGGGGTCCCCGGAGCCCCCCGCAATCCTCTCGCTCTGCCGGGGCCGCGGAGTCGCCGGGAGCTGCCGGGGCGCTTTCAGCGAGGGCTGCGGGGGGCACAAGGGGCCGGTGGGGGACAGGCGGGGGTCCCCGATGCCACCGCASCCCGCGATGTCCCGGCAGGCACACCCAGCACGGAATGGCACGAATGGCACCGGGAGAGGGTGCCAGGGACACAGCCGGGGGAACGCTGGCAGGGCCATCACCGGCACCCCGAGCGGGCACTGCCGGCCACCCTGGGCTGGGGACACCGGGCCCGGTGGGTCCCCGCACCCCGCGCTCACTCACAGCCCGTCCTGGCCCCCCACCCCGGTCCTTTGGTGGCTGAATCCCCCCTCCCTGGGCACCTGGAGACTGGCATGAGGAGGATGAAGGAGTGGAAGGAGCAACAAGCGGCTCCAGGGCCAGTGCCCAGCCCTAGGGACGGGTCACCGTGTCCCCTGTCCCCACTGCCCCCCCGAGACAAGGACAAGGGGATGCTGCTGGACAGGGCGGAGCAGGGACTGGATGGGGCAGGGATGGAACTGTGAAAGGGAGGAGGCAAGGAATGGAGCAGGGATGGGAAAGGAACAGGAAAAGGGAGGGATGGGATGGGAAAGGAACAGGGAAAGGGAAGGAGCAGGGATGGGAAAGGAACGGGGAAAGGGAAGGAGCAGGGATGGGAAAGGAACGGGGAAAGGGAGGGAGCAGGGATGGGAAAGGAACGGGAAAGGGAAGGAACAGGAGCAGGGATGGGAAAGGAACGGGGAAAGGGAGGGAGCAGCACAGGGAAGGAACAGGGACAGGGACAGGAACAGGGATGGGAAAGGAACGGGGAAAGGGAAGGAGCAGGGATGGGAAAGGAACAGGGAAAGGGAAGGAACAGGAGCAGGGATGGGAAAGGAACAGGGAAAGGGAGGGAACAGCCAGAGGGAAGGAACAGGGACAGGGACAGGAACAGGGATGGGAAAGGAACGGGGAAAGGGAAGGAGCAGGGATGGGAAAGGAACAGGGACAGGGACAGGAATAGGGATGGGAAAAGAACAGGAAAAGGGAGGGAGCAGCACAGGGAAGGAACAGGGACAGGGACAGGAACAGGGATGGGAAAGGAACGGGGAAAGGGAAGGAGCAGGGATGGGAAAGGAACAGGGACAGGGACAGGAATAGGGATGGGAAAAGAACAGGAAAAGGGAGGGAGCAGCACAGGGAAGGAACAGGGACAGGGAGAGGAACAGGGATGGGAAAGGAACGGGGAAAGGGAAGGAACAGGAGCAGGGATGGGAAAGGAACAGGGAAAGGGAAGGAACAGGAGCAGGGATGGGAAAGGAACAGGGAAAGGGAGGGAACAGCCAGAGGGAAGGAACAGGGACAGGGACAGGAACAGGGGTAGGATAGGACGGGTCGGGGATGGATCCGAAATGGGGACAGCGAGGAGGATGCAGCAGCAGGAGGATGGGGACAGACCCAAGGGTCACTGCCGGGGGTGACACGGACCAGCAGGACATGGAGCTGCTGGATGGAGTCCATGGGGGACGGTCCCTGCCAGGTCCCCCCTCCCCGAGCCCCCTTAGGAGTTCCCCCCAAAATTCCCCCCTCCCTGGGACTGCCGGGGACCGTGGCCATGACACACTCGCAGCTTTATTCCCACCAGCGGCACAAAAAAAAAACCAAAAAACAAACCTCTCCCGGATACCGGTGCCAGGGGAACGGGACACCATGGCAGCCGGGACACTGTGGTGTGTGACACCATGGCAGCAGGGACACCGCGGCATTGGGGACAGTGTGGCATTGGGGACACGGTGGCATTGGGGACACGGTGGCATTGGGGACACGGTGGCAGCGGAAGCGCAGCAGCCAAAATGTGCCCTGTGCTGTCCCTGGGATGGTCCCTCGCTGGGCTTTTTTTGGGGGACATCCCCGACCCCGCAGAGGCTGCAGAGCCCCGGGAACCCCCAGCTCTCAGGGCTGGAGAGCTGGCAGAGGGGACATTGGCTCGGCCGGGAGTGCTGGACAGTGGCAGGGGCTGGAGAGCTGGAACATTCCCCATTTCCTGTCCTGGGGGTGCGCAGGATGGGCAGGAACAGCCACTCGCCACAGAAACGTTGGCAAAAGCTCCCTCTCCAAGCAAAGACCCCAAAGGAGACCTCACACCCCATTCACGGGGGCTCCACGTCGGGATGGAGCAGCCTCAGACCCTCCCAGCCCTTGGAAAACACCAGCGGCAGCTTT